GTTCTTTTTTTTTTTTTTTTTTTATTCTAGAGCCTCAGCAAAAGTCTGACCATTGCATAAGCCATTCGTGATGTTAAGGGTTTTATTTTTCCCCAATCTAGTGTTCCTGTATTAAAAGGGTGGAGCTTAAGCAGATCTTTCTGCATCACACATAGGCCCTCCTGTGAGTCCTATGGGAAGAGACAGATATACTTCTGTGTTCATGGTCTCCAGTGAAAGGGAGCTGGACTAAATCGTACATACATACACATGTTGCATTTTTATAAAATAGGATAGAAAATAATACAACTGCACTATGTAAAAAACTGATCTTGCACCACCACATTATGGTGTCATAGGAGAGGGACTGCCTTCCAGGAGTGGACGTCCATAAGATCACTCACCCCATCCCTGAGCTTGATGCTGCATTCCCTAAGACTGTGATTCATTTCTTCATTTGTTCATTCAGCATTTATTAATTAAAGCATATACATGATAAACAAGGGGCTGGGCTTTTGGGTTCTGGCCAGTGGAGCACACAACCAAGGATCCCTTGTTAAATGGGAAACAAATTGCCCCACATATTAATTTTTTAAGTCCCCAGCACTCCCATGGAAAAATCTAGTAAAGCTTGGATAAGAGAAGGTGGCTTAGGGTTGAGGCTAACCTGGGGCTTCCAACTCCCTTTTCAGATACAGATTGTGATTCCAGCATACTTGCCTGAGCCAGCAGATGGGAACTGGGTTGATGATAGGCCCTCAAAATCCAAGCCTAGTTCTTTTCCTTAGTCAGTTTCATGGATCTGGATTATAGCTATGCAACACACCAAGTCTCAGGCAGAACAGAGAAAGGGTGGCAGATGGCACTCACTCTTCAGAGTAATGACCCTGCCCACCAGGGAGATGTGGCCAGTGAATGAGTCATTCCCCAGAAGAATGGACACCCACTCCTGGTCATTCTCCTCTTTGGAAAGAAAGGACAAAAGCACCTGTCTTGATCACTGGACCCAAGGACAGGAGGAGAGAGTTATAAAATTCCTTCTGTCTCCCTAGGAGCAATCCCTGTCTCATAGGAATGCTGGGAGATGGGGGGATTAAATAAAATATGTAAAATACCTGGTATTGGTAGGTGTGTGCCAAGCACACAGTCAGGGTCTCATGAGTAGTAGCAGGTTCTCTTCTCCCCCAACTCTAATGTCTTAGGAGCTTCCTGAGGGGCAGTGCTGAATAATCTTTGTAGTATGTTTGTTGAATGGAATGTTTTATTTATAGAGACCTCAACATCCTTAGCACTTACCTTATTTAGTTTAAAGGTAGTAGAATTACAGAATTTTTCAGACCAAGAAGGAAGCTTTGAAATCAAAAGCTGATTCCTTCATTTTACAGAGGAAGAAACCAGGGCCCAGTGAGCAGAGAGAATGGGGATTCGACCTTCTAGCTCTAGGCACTTTCCACTGTGGCACATTTCACTGGGAGCACCTCCAAGGCAGTGTTTCAATCACATCTTTATCCCCAACACCCCAAAAAAGTGTCTGGCATGTTGTTGGCTCTCAGATAGTATTTGTTGAATAAATTAATTCACCATATCTGTTTGCTTGGCCTTTGGCAATCGTAGGATAGCTTGTGGCTTTGCAAGACTTTTGTGAACACATACAATTTGTGATGAACCTTCTCTACACCACATATAGGGAGGGGCTTCAAGTTTGACTCCCTTATCAAATACGTAGAGAAAAAATAAAATATTTTAGCATCTTTTGAAACATATGTATATTATATATATATATATACTTAAAGGTACATTGGAAAGTAATACACCACTTGGTGTGTGTTGTGTTCTTATTTTAGGTAGAAGAAATAATCACAGGTGGTCGACAAACATTCAAGTCCATGAAAACTACCTTGGACAGCGGCAGAGAACAAACAAGCTCAAGGTACCACCCCCTACTCTGTCCTTAGCTGTATTATATTGGTCTCTTCATTGTCATTTGTGGTTAGAATGCAGCTTCCAAAATGAAGCAGTTATTTAAATGGTTACTATCATGAATGTTAATGTTTTTTTCCCCCAAACCTTAGACTCTTGATTTGAATAGACTCCTGATCCTTGAAAAACAAATCTGTATGCATACAGGTCCCACGTCCTGTGATGAGAAGACTGGTACTGTCAACACCAATGGCGGCTAACACTTACTGAGTGCTTGCTTTGTGCCAGCCACTACTCTGTGTGCTTCACCCATATTTGCACATTTCATCCTCACAATTTTTATGCTCAGTTTCCAGCTGGGGAAACAGGGCGGGAGAAATGTAGAAATTTAGAGTGTCCTGAAGGCCACGTAGCCTTGTCATGTTGGGACAACTCTGCTGAGCCCTGCTCACACTGTTGCTCTCACTGCCTCTTTTTTGTGATCCACGTGTCACTTCATAGACTCCCAGGGCGCCAAGAACCCAAAAGCCCCCCATCCTGCATCCTCTTGTCAGTCTCCTGACTATTGGTCATTGCTGGCTTTTGCTTAAATTCCTCTCCCAGCAGGACCCCCACCCTCTCAAGAGAATATCCATCCCTGAGTATTCCCCAACGTGAGGAAGCCTTTCTCTGCCTCTCTCTGATTCCTAAGACAAGGTCCTGACTCTGCCTCTGGAGACCCTTAGAGCCAAGCCCATCTCCCTTAAGCAGTGACATCCCTTAAAGTATTTTGCACAAAGCTGTCCCATTTATCAGTTCTTCTCTAGAATGAGATCCCCGTTCTTTCAACTGTCCTTTTACTTCTCATGGTTTCCAGACTCTTAGCATCCAGATGGTAAAATCTATTTTGAACTAAGGCAAGCTATCTTTGTGATACAAATGTATATGCTAGAATTATCATCGTAAAAATACCTGAATAAGAGCTATATTTATGTATTGCATAATAAAGCAGTCAGGCATTGGTATATTCAAAGACGACTGTTGAAGTTTTGTACAGATTTTTAAATATGAGGTTTGTTTGAACAACAGGTATGGAATTGAATTCCTACTGAAAAGTGCTAGTTTTAACCTTGGAAATCAGCTCTCAAATTTCCCAGCTTAGTGATTTCTGTTGCAGATACAAGATTCAAGGGTATTATGACTATTATGAATATTCACAGTCATAATTAACCCCCAGCAGCATCAACACATGTAAAGAGTCTGAATCTAATTTGTGAGGAATCCCAGGGATGGGAAGCCAAATCATTGCAAACAGTTTGGAGCTGGTTTTCAGACCCCAGGAAAACTATCATTATGGTGATTACACTTGAGGATTCAAGATGGCTTAGCACAATTCTTCACTGGAGTCTCTCCTGTGGTATGTTTGTGAAGGATTTCTTTTTCATTTTGATTACTGAGATATGATCATCCCACAACCACACTTAAAATGTCTGTGTCAAGATTGTTTGTGGTGCTTCTTAATCCTTCACAAACTTTACTGTGCATGTTATCTCAGCCTCTGGCTGGGCAACCCCATTAGCCAAACAGCTGCCCAGCAAAGCTGCACATGGGACAGAAGTCAGACGGGTTGCTGGTTTCAGGGAAAGTAGGACAGCAGTTGCAGTAGCAGTATGCTGGGACGGCCACAGGGGGCCCCTTGACCCTCTCTTGGCTGGAGTGGCCCCTTTCTCATGCTGTGGAGACAGCAAATGGAGGGGAACAGCAGATGGGATAGGGTTTAGTTTGTCAGGACAGGAGGGTAACACTAGGTGACCTCCTGTGGTCCCATGTCACAAAGGGATTTCTTGAGTGTTGACTCCATGCTACACGGTGCTATGTATTGTATCTATCTTTTATCTTCAAAAATAACACTGCAAGATAAATACTATTATTTCTCACTTAACTAAGATTGAGAGGTCAGATTTTTCCACATTGGTAAGTAATAGAATCAGGATTATAAAAGTTAAGGCTTGCCTTCTTACTTCATGGACAGAAGATCTTGATTTAAAAATGATCAAAATCATTAAATTTTTTATGATTAATACTTTTTTTTGTCTTGTTCTGAAGTCCTTTCCTACCCTGAGGTCATGAAGGTAGCCCTTTATGTTATAAGGCTTTATAGTTTTGCCTTTCACATTTAGGTATAATTGGATGGAAAATCAAATCTATCAGGAATTGGTATTTGTTTAAGGCAATTTATTTTTTCCAATGTGGGGACCTTATTCTCCCAGTGTCTCTTATTAAAAAGTTAATCCATTCTGCATTGGTCACCAGGACCACCTCTGCATAGATCAGGTGTCTGTATGTGTGGGTCTCTTTCTAGACTCTATTCTGTTCCACTTCCTTAATTTCTATAGTCTTATGAGTCTTTATAACTGGTAGGAAGTCCTCTCACTTTGTTCCTGAAGAGTGAGTTGGCTATTCTTGGCCCTTTGTACTTCCATGTATATTTTAGAATCAACTTGGCAAGTATTATACACACATACACACAAACAACACACCTGTATTGGAATTTTATTTAGAATCTTATTAGCCATATAGATCAACTTAGGGAGAAGAATCCCTATAGTGTTAGCATCTCTTTCAGCTTTTTTGGATGTCTCTTTGTAAAATTTTTTAATTTTTCCATGAGTGTGGCCGTTATGGAAAATTTATTAATAAGTGTATTCACTTTTTGGTGTGAGATGTTTTTGATGCTATCATAAATGCATTATTTTATTTTTTTCTCTGTTGCTAATATACATATTTATAATTTACTTTTTATTGTAGTAAACTACACATTACATCAAATTGACTATTTTGATCATTTAAAAGTGTACAGTTCAGTGGCATTTAGTATTTTTACAATGTTTTGCCACCACTGGATAATTCACTTTTGTGTTTGACTTTGTACCCAGTGACTTTACTAATCTCTCTTATTATTTTATTAATTTATCTGTGGGTGATTTTAGATTTTCTGTATATCCACAAAGAATGGTAGCTTTCTTTCTTCCTAGTTCTTATTCCCTTTATTTCTTTTTCATTCCTTACTACATAGGGAAAGGCTCCAGTATAATATTGAAGAGAGTAGTAATCGCAGGCATCTTTGTCTTATTGCCAATTCCAGAGCAAACGCTTTCTGCCTTTTACTATTAAGTCTGAGACATTTATTTAAGCATAGTGATTGTAGTGATTTTATAATTCGTGCTTTCGTATTCCAATATCTGAAGGTTTTATGTTTCTATTTGTGGTGTTAATTCTGCTGGTTGTCTTGCAAAATGCCCCCTTTCTTTGAGTACTTATTTTTTACTGTGAGCTGCTCCACAGAGAAAGTTCTCTGGGTGACCTTGCATTGACCCAGTTCTCTCCCCTTTCTTGCTTGTAGTTCTCAGAATAACTGTAGAATGTGCTGGGAATGAAACATTCTGAAATAAGGGGGAGCTGGCCAGAACAGCCTCTGCTGCTTTCTGGGATCCCTCAGCTTCAGTGCAAGTGGGGCATGTGCAAGTGAGACTTCATTCACCCCCAGGGCAACTTTTCTGAGCTTTGGGGGACCAGCTCCCAATGAACCCTAGGTTTCTGTTGTCCTTTGCTGCCTGTCCGTAAGTGATAAACCTGCTTCATGCAACTTGTGTGTGGCGGGTGTTCTGTTTTACTGGACTCAGACAAGTTGGTAACCAGCATAGTGAACCTCTTTCTCACTTTATTGCTTTGGAAAATAGTTTGGGGGCTTCTCAGAGGCTGGGGAGGTACTTGGCCAGAGAACATTGGCATATGCTTCAGGGAAGAACACTGCCAATTTGGAACCACTGTCATCTAAATTCAGGATTGAGGATTTGTAACCAGCAGCTTCTGTAAACTTTCCAGCTTGTGGTTACAACTCAGCCTTCCTCTGCCCCACTGAGGCAGCTTTCCTCAAATTCCCCAGGAGGTGGGAAGAGGGGGTTTACTTCTCATTCGCTCTTAATGCAGGAGAAGCCATTTGGCACTGTACCCTTGTACAGTGAAGGGTACACTGAAGAAGTGTCTTGTTAGACTGCCCACCTGGTATGCTCAGGGCTTTGACTTCTGTCCTCAGACTTCATAAGGTCAACTAGACCAAAGCACAACTTCAAGGGCCACCAAATGCCTTCAGGGCAAAGGTGGCTTCAGGGCTCAGCTTCTCCTTCAGGGTTCCTGCCTTTACTGAATTCTGACCTTACAGTTCCTTATGATCTTATTAGCTCTTTAATGATCTCAAGAAAGTTTTCAGTGGGAGGTGGGAGTCTTTGGTCCAAATATGCTAGCCCACCATATAACCAGAAAAAGTTCTTTCTTTATGTTCTTTAATAGAAGGAATCAAATATTTGCTCTCTACACATCAGGTAACGGGCTGATAACCAGAATCTATCTAGAACTCAAAAAAATCAACAAGAAAAAATTAAACAACCCCATCAACAAATGGGCAAAGGAAATGAACAGAAACTTTTCAAAAGAAGACAGGATAATGGCCAGCAAACATAAAAAAAATTCTCAACATCTCTAAACATTAGAGAAATGCAAATCAAAACCACAATGAGATCTCACCTAACCCCAGTGAGATTGGCCTCTATCAAAAAATCCCA